AGACATCTTTGCAAAATACAGTAAAATGCAGGCTAGTTTCACGTTGTCTCATACTTCCATTGAAGCTGTGATGTCCAAATGGCAGCAGGTCCCAGAATAACCGAAAAAACCTTTTTCACATCTTTTCTCTACATTGAAATTAGATATCAATGAAACATTATCAGTTCCAGTGGTATAAATTATTTACTTACTACATACACAATTAACATTTTAAATGAGTTTGACACACTTAAGATTCTATAAACATTATTGTGCAGTACAGCATTTCTTAATACTTTGGGGAGACAAGGCATGAGAAATAAATCCAATGTGCATATTCATATTAGAAAGTCATTATATAGAAGTTTAAAGACAAAACCACAAATAAAACAAGAATACAAATCAAATTCTGTACAACAACGTTTTTAGACTGTACAACAGAATGATCACTTGGGATGAGAAAATATAAACAATTATCTTTCCTTATCTTCCACACAAACAATTCAGAAAACATGTTGGTTCATGTGTAACATATTGGATTTGCCAACATTTTGAGTAATGCATGCAAGATTTGCAGACACCTGATCATCCAGCACTTCTCAACAGATAAAGGTCTTCAGAAAAAAATCAGAAGCAACCTGGCTAAAAGTGACAGTCGGCCTACAGCAAGGAAATATTTCAGTAAGATCAATGACAGCTTTTCCTGTGTTTTAATTGACATTGGATTAGTGTTCACAAATGTCGTTCGGTACCCTACGATACTAAGCTTGGGATGCTGTTCCAAGAGCACAGGCAGAGAGAAGTACTTGGATGTGCCACTTGTTTTTGCTGCAGGGTAAACACCCACACTCTCCGCAGAGCAACACTGTTGTCACTCGGGTTTGCTACATTCCCACAAAGCTTGGAAATCTGCTTGTTGATGCAGAAAATACGGACGTTTCTAAACCCAACACAATGAGCTGCGGTTGAGAGTTAGGAGGAGTGCCTTGGACCTGCAACGGTTTTGGCTTCCCACACCTCTTCATAAGGACCTGCCGTTGGGCCGTGGCCTTTGCCTAACTGAGCCTTTGGAAACTTTTCAAAATCTTTGAGAAATTAATTGTGAAAAGATGCCTCTGGGTGTTTGCATCACGGACGCAATGGTGCGTTACCGCACACTCGCCCGGTCTCCCAGCTACCAGTACCGTAGGAGAGACCGTTTGAAAAGACAACATTCACTATCGATACTGTGTTGGAGAGGTCTGGGGTGAGCAGTAGCACCACTACTGAGAAACAGCTACTGGGAAGGATTTCATTTCGTGGCAAAAATCAGGCTACTTCCAAAAAATCAAAATAAGCTCATAAGTCCTGATTATCTCTGCTTCAACGAGATAAGGAGGGTGCCGGCTGAGCCAAGTCTTTTAACAGTTTTCTGTTAAGAACAGTAAATTCTAGGATCAGAAGAGAAGGAGGAATAAAACAACACAGGCTATAGCAAACACAAGAAAACAGACCAAAACTGTTGGGCAGAGAAGTAGTGCACGAAGGACCCAGCATCCTTGAAAGACATTAAATAGCCCCCAGAAGACTTGCATGAGAAAGGGGGCATGAGAAAGGCCGTGGTACAGTCAGGTATTGGCTCCTTCCCACAGAGCAGTGAATCTCTTGCAAAGTCCCTTTGCAAAGCCTGTTTACGTGCCTTCAAAAAACATCGGTTATTTGTCACGCAGTCCCCAAGAGCTAAATTGCACAGTGGTTTATTTTGCATGTGTGTTATATCACAAATTTGTTGACAAGGCACACTGCTATAGTAATCCTAAGAGGGAAGTCCCTTTGCAAGTTTGCCTATATGTGTATTTTTTTTCTTCACAGAAACTTTAAAACAAAAAAAACCAACAAAACTGTGGCCGTTGCAGAGCCTATGAGGCTGAAACCACTACCATTTGAAAATCAAATACCATGACAGCAAGTGAAATATGAGAAAACTGGTATATTAAATAAGATTTAGAATGCTGCAGGATTTGCTAAGTGTTGGGGGTTTTTTATATCACTGGTTGTTACAGTTTCAGGTTTGAGTACTGATATAGGTCAGTGGATCTCCCTCTTCCACATAAGAGGATGGGGAGACCGAATTCCCTTTTTATTTATCATCGTGGGATTAAGGACACGTAAGAGTAACTCTCTGTACAAGCGGGAACAGGGGAAAACTGGGAAAAGTAAAAGAGAAATAAAGCCACATAAAATCTGATTATCCTTAGGAACTAGCTGGCAAGGTAAAGGATTAATCTATCATGCAGCGCTTCAACTGGCCTGCTCTTTTACTTGCAAGTAGATTTCATTAGTAGTGGAAATCACAGTATGATGAGGCAACTTAAAATCATATTATAATGTTGAAGTCACACAGTAATTAAAACTGGACAACATCCTTAGTGAAATCTTGGAAAACATCAGCTAGAGACAGGTTGTCCACATTCATTTTTATTAACTCCATGATCCGTGGCAACTGATTCCAGCAGCCTTAGCTTTTATATTTCACCAGACACTGAACAGGAGAGCTAATATTATTAATTATTTCTCAGTCTAAGTAATGAATTTCCATGAGTCCTAGCTAAGAAGTCATTGTTTTAAACAAGATGCCAGTAACTGGCATAACAGTGCAGCACGGGGAGGAACGGTTTTTCCCATGTCTCTTTGTGTACAGGATTTCCAGGCATTGTGCCAAGATTTTTCCCTATGTTAAAGAAAACTCCGTTCTTTCACATCCTTCATTTTCCCGCACACAGCTTGACTCTCCCATGCTGTCAAATCCCCTTTGAATCCTTGATACAATCAAATCCAGTTTGCTGCACTCAGAATTTAAAACCAGCGTTTTTGTTTGCCTTTTTTCTGAGCACAGCAGCTTGTGGAAAGAAAACAGGAGAAGGTGAAGAACCAACTCTTTGGTTTGAACCTGGCTTCTACTGGCTTCATCTGACGGTCCCTAATTCTTGTATTAGAAAAGAGTGTGAAGAGTCAATCCCTTTCCATGGCACTCAAGATTTTTCAGACTTTATTACATCTCCCGTCAGCTGTCTCTTTTTCCAGCTGAAGAATTTTGTATTGCTCACCAAAAGCCACTTAAGCGCACTTGCACAATGTAAGATAAGCAACCTTGTTTCATCTAAAATACTGATCTGTATTAGATCTGTAATTATTGTATTTGAATTTCAAGTTTTTACCTGTATGAAGTCAGGATTTGATTTTCTAAAACACTCAAAAAGTGCAAAGCGTATCACAGGTCAAAAAGCCCTCTCTTGAGTTTGACTGGTGTAATGTTTGTCTTGATTAGATCAAAGCTATCCAGAGGATAGGAAAAAAATGTGGCCGTTTAGCTGTGCAAAGAAATATCCTCTCATGGGCAATTATTAGCAAAATACTACCAAAAAAAAAAAGAATCACGGGAAAACCTCTTTAAAAATACATAGATACTTAAACATTTTCACATCATTGGGCTGTGACTGTTTTGTTACGTTTTGTCCCACACAGGATATATATAGTACAATACAAAACAACATATGCTATGGATCAGTATAAAAGCTTTCGCCCTTTATCCTCAGCACAGGTATAGTCCGAGTGCTTGCAAAGTCAGACCGCCTACAGCATGCGATGGCTGTATTTTAACAGCACAGTCCATCAGTGGTACCCAGCTGCAGCAGTTCCCAAGGCTGTTCACTCACTCCTAGTTCCGACCTCAGTTGCTGCCCGCTGTGTTTCCCCAAGTCTCTAGTATCGTTACACCACTATGATTTTAGCGTGATTCTCAAATATTGGTTTTAATCTTGAAAGTTTTTTAAAGAACATCTATTTCATAGGATATATCCTCGTTCCGTCGCACACTGAGTTGAGCCTAATGTTAACAAGGGGTTTCCTCGATATCAAGAGCAAAATCACTTAGCAGGAGAAAAAAATTAAAGTATTAAAGCTAATGGGTGCTATGTCCATTTATATCACTGGAGTATTTGATGTATAACTCTTAAGCTTTAGGAATCTTACTTTACTGTTATAAAATCACAAGTACCTCTTTCTCATCCTACAGATTTGAGTTTGAGAAACTGATGACTGCCTCCAGTATTCTCGGCTATTCCGAAAATTCACGATTCTTGGTAGGCTTTAAGAGCAAAGAAAGAGAAGTTAATGAATAATTACTGTAATGCTTTAGACTTACTGCCTGTGTGGATCTGCAGTCTAGGAGCTATGTAACATGACTTTTTAAGTCTCAAAATAATTTCAAAGCAGTGAACCACCAGAAGGTCTCAATATATACACTCAATATTGTTTCACATTGATGAGCAGAGGTCCAATGCTCTCATTTCTTCGTGTACCCTTTTCCCTGTCCAGACTCATAACCTCTTCTGAAGAATGGGAAAGAAGGAAAAGGAGCGTGTGGCAAAAGCAACATGTTCAGTAGTCTTAAGTATCTTTTCTTTCTCAAAACTCTGCCCAAGGCTAGAAGATTAACTGAAACTAGAATTAATGACAAGAAGAATGAGGGGCACTTAACCGCTTATTGAAAGAGCAGTAACAAAATCCGCCTTCCCCCAAAGCTAAGAGACCAAGAGCAGTGATGAGTAGGGACCTGGATGACCCTCCCACCACTATGTAATTAGTATATACATTTCTGGTATGGAAACGTCACCAGTGTTGGCTACAGGAGCAGCTATTATTCCCAGCACAGGAAATTCACAGCTTTTTTTTTGCTTCTTACTGCTTGTATAACAACGGTCTTATTGCATATATCCATCCAGGCAATGCATTAGACAAGACTGAATTCCACCTGGACCTCTTCCCAAACGTTATGAGACAGATAGGAAGGTATTAAGAAAATAATCTTAATCTTTTTACACCAGTAACTGATTTTACTTCGACTTCAAAAGTCTACCGACACACAGGGAATCCTGGAGACCAGGAAAAAACATTAGAAGATTAAAGTGAAATTACCTTAAATGAAAAGTTTGGATAAGGGAATTTAAAGTGAGTTTGTCTTTATTAAAGACAAGAAAGGTAGGGGTGGAAATAATAGTTTTAATTGCACTGTGCAATGGAATCATCCCAGGGAAAATGATACTGAAACGGTAAGAGAACAAAAACAAATAGCTCAATACTTTCATTGAAATACTATTTTTTCACTCTACGGGTTCTAACTCATATCAGAAGAGACGGTCTGGCAGGCTCGTTGAAGGCAACGGGTACTGAAAACAACTTATAACTTGCAGAAACATGTCTCTAAGGGATATCTCCATTGCTGCTGATGCCAAGCAAAAATACCAGGACTCTTAATTAAAAACAGAGATTTAAACAAAAGTAGCTTTATACTGATTCTCAGTGCCCTTATTCTTCTCACTCTTGACAGTAATCAGAGATGGAAGGTCTGATGTCCTATAAACTCCAGTCCTCATCCTCCCTTGGCAAGATCTCAGTTCAGAGATATAACCTTCAAAGCTGAGGTTCCCTTCAGAATCGTCACAGGAGCGTGTCCCAGTGTCTTCCAGTTTGACTCCATCCACATCGATTATCCTGTTTACAGGGAGCTCCGTACTGGGGTTCTCTCTCACACCAGGAGGACTAAAGCTTCGGCTGGTCTTCGCTTTGTGCGAGGTTTGCTCACAAGAGTTTCCTGAAGTCCCTTGTGAATCTTTTTTCTTTCTGTGGTTTGCACCTAACAGAAGAATTAAAAACAAAAAACACAAAACAGAAGAGTTATGTATCTCCTGGCTTTTAGCAGTTTTCAATATCGCAGTCTTCTCTGAGGTCCTAATGGTAGATAGTCAGCTGGGATATTCCTCTGCCCCATACAGCAGACTTGATGCACCAAGTAGGTAACTAAAGAGTAGATCTCAAAGAGACATGTAAAATATTAATATGTATCTGTCTTAATTTAGCATTTTTCAGAGTTTTTAAAAAGACTCCATTAAAAATCGACTAGAGATTAATTCTCTAGCAGACTAAGAAAGGATGATTTGAAGCTGCAGTTCACTGTCATGAACTGCAACCAAGCAATTATGGGCCAGGGCTTACAGGACAAGAAGAAAAGAAATAACTTAGTCTGCTGGAGGGCTTTAAACATTCAAGAAACACCTGAGTTACGTGTGATTTTTTTAACCTTGAAGTTTCTTTTTGGTACAGCGCTTCTAAAATCACAATTGTTAGGGTTCGGGCCTATTCTCTAGCACTATTCATACAAAGTTGTCACTTTGTCCCAGGTTAACCCTAGATTAAAACCTTGAGCTCCCCGAAAGGTAGTTTTGCGTTAGGCGTGACACCGCAAACTGCTAGGCACTTGTTAAAGCAACTGCAGATAAAGCTGGTTTGCCTGTGTCAACAGGCAACAAGAAGGGAAGGATGAAAAAGGAGCTGATTTCATTATTTGCACAATGGTTATTGACATGATTTCTGTAGTTGAGGTGCCCCCACCATCATGATATAAAAATGGGCAAAATTTGCAGGGAAAAAGAACTGCTTTTATTAGACCAACTGATATCCAAGAAAAAAATAGAAGACCTTTGAAGGCACAAAGTCAGACCTGAGTAAGGGCTTCCATTTCACATTTAATTTCTTTTTTCCATGTATACCAGCTGGTCTTTTAAAAGATACCATCTTGTCCAACATCTCTTACCTAAACCACTTTTACGCTATTGACCACACACAAGTGTCTGACTAGCACATTTAGTCACACAAATCCCATCAGACTTCTGTTGTTAAATCCCATAGCTGGCTTTGAAATCTTTTATTGGTGTTTGTTTCATGAAGTGAGGTGTACAGTGTTTTTTGCAAGAAAAATAAATTTCAATGGATAATCGTCATAATCAAGAAGTTTTTGATGTGAAGAAGGGGAAAAATGCAAACAAAAAGGACAAAAAAAGCAATTTCATACTGTTTCAATCAAATCACTCCAGGGTCTTCTCAAGGGTTAAAGCTTTCTATTTAATGAAAATAAGTTAAAATTCTAAGTAGTGCAGTATTATTTTAGTGCTTTAGCTACAGTGCAGGCCCACATTAATAATGTGGATATTCCACATCAGTAATGCTTGCCTTTTTTCACATCCAGAGGAATTAGTTCAAACTCCAAACAAATCAGCTGAGCAATAGCAGAGAGAAGGCAGAAAGCTTTCTCGGCCCTGCTAGCCCAGCACGACTCCAGACTACTAAATTACAGCTAACATTTAATGGGATTATATTACACTTCATGTTTACATCTTCCTACTTCAACCAAACATTGGCTTAATTTTAACTGCTGTTTGCATGGCTGTGGTGTAAAATGCTATTCTTCTATTCTAAAATGTTTATCTTAACATGAATGTACTGAATTGTACTCTTCATCTTTTTAATCTACTATTCTATGCCCTTTGAGGAAGATCTCTGATTCTCCTTTCATGTTGGTTTAAAAGAGATACTAATTTCAAAAAGGCCATACTAAGGATAAATTACACCGAATAGTTTGCATTGACAGAGCATGAGTCATCCACTTGTCCTAGTATTGAGAATACGTCCTTCTCCTAAATGTAGTGTAACGAAACAACTTTGATGGTGGTGCAAGGTCTCATAGCTCTGTTGACTTGAACTAAGCTGAGACACTTTCCAGAGTCAAAAGATACAGCCTGCATTAACAGGGTACAACAGATGAAAGAGCTGGAAACTCCTGCTGAGGAACGCTATGGAAGGTGTAAGTATTGCTGTATTTATTTGGTTGCTAAGTCTGTCTACAGCTACATATAAGAAATGCCATTAAGTCCTGGAATTATGGTGTCACTGAGTCACCACACGGAGCAACTGGGCTTGCAAGTTGTCTAATAGGAACAAAGCAAAAATAAGGTCAATGTTAGCTCTCAGGCTTCACAAGACATAAGCGCATGTGAAGAGGAATAAATCCGTACTATGGGCAGTTTTTGCTATTAATGCCCTTCCCAGGAGCAATCCCTCTGAAGCATCTAATAAATTACTACTAGAGGCAGGACAGTAACAGAGAAGGTCTTATCTAAAATACTGGTTCAAAGGAATATGGAATTACTAAGGTGTGATACTGTGAAGATGATTTCTTTTTTCCTGGCAGGGTAGAAAAGATCTTGGCTCATCTACACCAAACAGGAAGAAGATTTCAAGAGTAGCACTACACTGAAAAAATATTTTAATGTGCTTTTTTTTCTCATTTTTAAACACAAAGCATTTATGAAGCAAGGCTTTTTAGCACGAATAATAGGAGAGATTCCCAAAAACAGTTTGTGTATAAATGTATCCCACAAGTTTTAAAATAGACTCCAGATTTGCATGTACTCAGTGGAGCCTTATAATGAGGCTTAAATGATGCCTATGACAGTTCTGCACTGGTCTCCTTCTCATATTCTCTTTTTGAGTAACAAATACCTGAGCAAACTTAGCTATGCAGGGCACCGTCTAAGGTGCAAAGAGCTTTCGCATTTAAAATTTCTCTTCACATATTCCTGCACTGAAGTGATGAAAACCTCCATGGGTATCTCTGCGGATTGCTTTGCCTTGCATAAAGCATGTCAGGAATGATATTACAATTTCCTGAATCTAATCTGTCAAATGTCCTACCTAACTTCAGAAGGGAAAGGAAGCCAGTGCTTGGAGCAGTAGTTGCACAGATTAATTTCCAAACAGACTGGAATAGCATGATCATGCCTATTGGTAATCTTCGGCTCCCCTGCTAAGCATTCCACGCAGCTCTAAGGAAATTTTCTTGTGCATCTGATCCCATTAATATGTTCCAGCTGGTTTAAAGATGGGATGATGCCTGTTATCTTCTGTCTTTAAACTGGAGACTGCTATTTTACAGACTCACAGCTAAATGACTGCTTAGAAGGATAGGTGTACCGGTCTGCATTTTTCAAAAGGGAAACGATCAGGCAGGGTTTTGGCTGATCTTCGATTTCCTTTAGCAATATTTCTCTTTTTCTGAAATTTTGATTTTATGTATTATTCTCAAGCTCTTTGAATTTAACATTATAATTATGGAAAAGTATCATTACAGAGGAAGACTAAGGGAATTTTTGTTCTTCTGTATAAAATATTCCTCAAGCTCTAAGTAAGATCTAAGCAAGATACTGGAAGACATTGTCTTCCAAGTAGTTTAGGACCAAGGGAGCATTTGGCCAAATTCCAGGCAAAGACGAGGTTACAAAAAACCTGGAAATTTCAGGAACAGCACTAACTGTCAAAGGTAGATGATAGAATCAAATTACCATAACTCAGTGCAGATGCTTGGGATTTAAAGGTCCACCCACAACATCTTGCAATGATACTATTTCTATACATCCATTTATTTTCAATATGCTAATTTTAGTTATGATTCACTTGTTAAAGCATAATTTAGATCTGATCTGAAATTCAGCACCTTTGTTTTTAAGTGATCAATATTCAATATAGTTCCATTCACACCATATTTATCTTTTTTTATAAAAGCAAGTAGATGTTTATTAAGTTTCACTATGAGATGAGCTCTGCATTTGAAAGTCCATACTTAGTGGATTTCATATATGGAATAGAATTTAGCATTCTGTCATAATTCTCCCAACACCATTTCCATATAGACAGACACCTTTTCCATGTAGCTTCAGTGTTTCACTTAGCATTCTACCTTTGCTAAAATCCTATTGTTCTTGCCAAAACCAACTTTACTATTTAAACGGCTCTCAGTTCTACTGAAAGATAACACAAAGGTAACTTCTATACCGTTGATTGCAGGCATTCAACTTCTAATGTCAGAGAGTATCAGATATTCAGTTAAAAAGAATGAGCTCCAGTGTAATGATTTGGTGTTGACTTACAGCAGATAAGAATCTTTTTGAAGCATAATTCTTGTGAAAAGAAATCACCAAAGTTTTCAGGAACAACTCCTGGAATTGGTTATTTACTGGCATATACCACCTCCAAATGCAATGAGTCATTTTCAGTCCCCAAATTCATAGACTGGTGTGTTCTTTAACGCGGGAGATTGGGCAGATACTGTTCTCATCTCTGATTCCATGCAACAACCTGTCCTAAGCTGATAACATGCTGGCTGAGAGAGCTTTTTTTTTTACATGAGGTTATAAAAAAGGAGCTCTGTGATGGTCACTTCTGCAGTGGTGTTCACTTCGAAGTCCTGGAAATTTTTCAATATGAGTAACTCTCTTTCCTTAAGATACATGTAATCTGGCAGTTGCACTCTGGGAAAGACACTTCTCCCTTCCTACTCTAAACTCCTGTGAAATGGTGAAATTTTAGGCTTCCCAGATGTGGATTCTTTTAAGTGGTAGACAAATAACTTCCACAATGGCTGATGTACTGTTAGTACTGTAACCATTTTTTTTTTTTAAGTTTGCAAAGTGGTTTATGCTTCCGAAGGGAGAAGGATACTTTGCATTTAAGATTTAGAATTCTGCAGGTTAAATTCCCTTCAAAAGTTTCCTTCCTTTTATCTCTTAACTGATACAACACCGAGGAGAAAGAGGATTTAGTAAAAGGTTCCTACCTACAGTTTATGCTAAATCTTTTCAAAGGAAATTTGACTTTAAACGCTGTATTTCACTTGCATGATGAAACACCAACGGCAGCATATGCTCAGGGCCTTGAAATCTGACTCAATAACAATGAGGGCATCAAGCTAGGAAATGGATTATTCTACAAAGCAGCAATACTCTGTATTATCAGTCTATTTAC